CACACCTGTGCCAGGACACATCCTTACTGACCGCACCTACTCCGGTCACCCCCACACTGACCACACCAGGTCACTGTTGTTGCCGTCGTTCCTTGTTCCAGGCATTGTTGTTGCTGTCGGTTTGTTCCACGTCTGTCTGTACACCGACCCTGCTGCTGTAAAACAACCTGCCCCCCTATTAAAGACTCTCTCTCACCTCCTCACTGACCACACCTAGACCTGGTCACCTCCACACTGACCACACCGGCACCAGTCAGGTCCTCGCTGACCAGACCTTCGCCAGGTCCCACCATAGCTGAAAGTTCTGCCTGTGCCGACAATATTCTTTTGAAATGATAATTCTTCATGGCCAAGTCTTGTCTTTCAGCTGCTGAGGCTCAACATGCTAAGTTACTGAACATTCAAATGAGCAAAAGGATGATTTTGCTTCTCCCAGCATTTGGTCCCAAAGCACCTTTACCTGTGTAAAGCAGTTTCCTATTCTCAATCTGAAACACATTTCTTAATACAGTACGTTCCAATGGGCAAAATGTCAATTTTTCACTACCAAGTCTACAAGTCCAACCTCTACATCCCTTATGATCTGATTCACTCAGATTGGATCTGTGTTAAATTACATTTTTTAAGGTCTAGTTACCTTTTCTGCACCTGTAACTCTCTCTCAGCATTGCCTATTAATCTCCTGTGCTTTGTTCTTGTTCAGGGACAGAGATCCTCAAACCTCATGCTGGTGAACACCCATCTCCTCTCGTTTTCATTCAAACTGAGCCCAATCAGTGAGACTAATGGCTCAGGAGTTGCAAGACTGTTACAGATTTTTACTTCTCATTTTCACAGGATCTTGGATGGGGTTAATGCATAAAGTGTCAGCCTCACAAATGAATTAAGACCCCCCCACACACACACACAAACACAGAGTTCAAAGCCAGGAAAGTTATTGAGAAAACAATAAAAATCGTTTTTTAGAATGTTGAAAACTAAGTTTACTAGATTTTGATACAAGACCATACAAAAATCAAAAAGTGCAGAGCAGTCTTTTACATTAACACTTCCAATGACATGGTAACGTACACAAACGCTGCACATTTTAATACGTTGAGATTTAAGAATTCTTTAAAAAAATTAAATGTTTAAAAAATGGGAGTAATTTATGTATGTGCTGGAGGTCAGGGAGGGGGAGGGGAGGAAGGGATGTTTACAACATTAAAAAAAAACAAGTGATGTTAATACTTTTAAGCCACAGACTGCTAGGAACACGTTTCACTATAGTCAACACCAAAGATTCTAAAACCCTGTTTTTGTTTTGTCTTGGGGAGGGTATCCCACAACGCAAAAGGCTGAGGAATACCCTTTGCATTATTAAAACACGTCAGAAATGCACCTCCATCGTTCCCAAACTGCTCCAGTCCACAAGAAAATGAGTCTTGAAGTTCCCCGCTAGCAACGTGAGGTCGGCCTTCCCAGCTCAAAACGTGACATCCGGAGGAGCGACTGGCCGTGTCCAGGACCCCAGCCAGAGTGCGCAGGCTCCCACAGGAATTTTACACCCCCCAATTCCCGCACGGAAGCCGCTCGGCCTGAAGCATGAGGTCAGCTCCGCGTGCGACTCGAGCGTCTCCTTCCAGGGCGGCCCCGAGCTGAGGGCAGCAGCGATGTGAACGGGCGTGATCGGAGTGTTGGGAGGCAGGGGTTCAAAATTGATTCGACGTGCACAACTCAGGCCCGACGCTTGAACGGACCTACTGCGTGGAGTTTTACCATTCAAGCTAAGCGATCAATGGAGAAACCGGATGGATGGATGGATGGATGAACAGTTTCACTAAGAGGGTGGCACAGTGGTGCAGCGGTTAGCATTGAAAACCCAGAGCAGGCCCTTGGTTCAATTCTGGACCCGGTGTGCTGTCTGTGTGGAGTTTGCATGTTCTCCCCAGGTTCATACTGGTGCCTTTAGGTTTCTCCTCTGGTTTCCTCCCACAATCCGAAGACCTGCTGGCTGGTGAAGTCGCTTCTACGTAAACTGGCCCTGGTGTATGTGTGCGTGTGTGAGGCATCCTAATAACCCAACTGCTGCTGGTGTAACGAGACCTACAAATCCCGCAGGACTGCAACCCTCCGAGGCACGGCTGTACGTCAGGGTTCCCCCAATCCTGGGCCGCTGAACCCCCTGGGCAACAGCAGGAGATCACCTCCACACCCCACCACCACAGCTAACCACTCAGCTTCTCCAGCCAAGTCCCTCCAAAGCCACCATTTTAGCAAGAGCTGCAAACAACATCAGGAAAAGATCTACCTGAACACACGCGAGATCTAGTGAGCTAAAGTCACTCGGAAGGAAAAAAACAGAGGTCGCCGAGCACCAGAATAGGGGAATCCTCGCTTTAGCCCATGACTTCAGTTCCAATGGGGATTTCCTGATGCAAAGAAAAGTATGGCTTTGTTCTTGAGGTCGATTTTGAGAATTGCAGACAGCATAAGGTCAAGGCCATGTCGGCTGAGGCGCCAGCCTGTTGCTCCAGACCTCGAAGAAAGGGACAATTTAGAGTAGCCAAGTGAGGCTCGTCTGCCTGTCCTTGGGAGGTGGGAGGAAGCTGGAGAACCTGGGGAGAACATGCAAACTCCACACAGATGGCACCCCAGCCCAGAATAAGAGTGAAGAGGCAGCTGGACTAAACCTATCGGAAACTGGTTTATTTCTTACTTGCAAATGCAGCAACCCAAGGTCCTGTGGCTATGAACCAGACCGCCAACACCACCACACTCCCTCCCAGGGTTACAGTCCCGCTCGACTGTGTGCTCTGCTGAAACTGTGGCAGATTAGCCCGCGGGAAAGATGCAGTAGGCCAACAAACCATGATACCTCCTTAAAAGAAAGAGTGGTGCAGGAGAACATTTACCCACTGGCAGCTAAGGGGAGACTGTGCGTAGACAGGCTCAAATATCATTGTCTGACACCTCTTGTCTAGACATCAGTGTGCACAAATCTCTTGAATTCTTATTCTTCGTCTGCCCAGCCTTTCTCCTGCCTTTGTACTGAAGCTGGGGCAGGACAGGCCCAGCATGTCCACAGGGCACTCTGCCGAAACCTGCTGACCTACAGGCTCCTTGCAACTAAAAACCCTACGCTACTGCTCCTACACGCCTATCAATACACAAAAAAAATAATATATATATATAAATCTACAAAGAGCACAGTTGCGTCAGGCCCCCATACCGACAGGCTGTAACATTTGTGACCAAAAGAAAACTATAAAAGGAATGAATCTGAAAAAATACTGAAAAAAATACATTGAGAAGCATGATGCATCCTGGGACACTTCTAGCTGTCAGTCTACCCTCCCCACAACCCCACCCCAGTCACTCCCGTTGTACAGTTTTATAAAAACAGCCCGGGTCACTGTCATCGTCGTCGTCTTGGGTTTCGTGATGAGCGGGCAGTGTCTCTTTGTTGTGTTTTGTTTGTCTGTAACCTGTCCATTCAACCACGGAGAGGGGAGGGGGGTCAGGGGTCAGGGGAGCGAGAGTCTGTCTCCGGCTCGGCAGCCCCCTCCCCTAACCCCTCCCACGCCGCTTCTCGTTCCACTCCCCCCCCAGGCCCGGCTCAGACGTTCACCGTGCTTTTCTCCTTCTTGTCCCCGTCCTCGTGCCAGGTGAGCCGCTCCTCGTAGAAGGCGATGACGATCTGCGGGCACTTCACGTTGGCCTCCTTCGCCAGGACCAGGTCGGCCTCGTCCGAGTCTTTCCTGCAAAACCGAGACGCACAGCGCCGTCAGCCCCTGCGCTGCCAGGCCCACACGCCACACGGCCACAACACTCACACGCCGGACGGAGGTGGAAATCACCAGCTCTCAGTGCCACAGAGGCGTCTCAGGTGTTACAAGCTATGGGGCTCTTTCGTGTCAGCGAACCATCCATCCACCTTCTAACCCCTTTATAGGATCTCAGGGGAGCTGGAGCCTAGCCCAGCGAGCAACAGGCAGAAGGCAGGGTACACCCTTGACAGGACGCCAGTCCATCACAGAGCACACAGACACACACGCTCACACCAGGGCCAGTTTTCCCAGAAGCCAATTAACCTACCAGCCTGTATTTGGACTTTGGGAGGAAATTGAAGCACCTGGAGGAAACCCTTGCGAACACAGGGAGAGCATACAAACTCCACACAGACGGCACCCCAGGAATTGAACCCAGGGCTCCAGCGCTGTGAGGCTGTAATGTTAACCAAAGTGCCACCGGGACGCCTCGACTACTCCATATGAAGCATAATTTAAATCCATCCTTCACGCAGAGGACAAGGAACTGGTTTTGCTACACTGGGATTCAGTGGAGACAAACACGAGACTTGCATTTTAAAGGGAGGTATACAGACGTGAAATACCTCTGCTCACGCCGTTGTGTATTTAATTAAAGAGCTGCCTCTTTAAGAGCAATCAGTATTCCAGAGGACGGCTAGCAAAGAGTTTGCAAGATTTATTATCCTGAGTGCTGTGCTCGCGGTTGCTACACGACAAGGCGCTGTAGCTGGGGGAAATCCAGGCTTCCGTGCGGAGAAGATGGGACGGAGGCCGAAGTAAAAACACCGGAAGGTTTCAGATCGCAAAGCAAATATTTCTGTAGCATTTGGTTTCGACGCCACAAGGTCCGAGGATACAGAATTCCCCCCACACCTTCTCTGTATCCAGCGTTTGGTTTGGGCTTTCCTCAGACCAGGCTGTTTTTTTCGGATGCTTTTCTTTCTTCGTTTTCCTATCGTGGGTCACCAACCCATCTTAATTCTTTACCACCCTGCCCCCAGCGCCTCCCCGCTGCTTCTACCACAGCTGGCTTCACCCAACGCGTACAGGAGCCCCGTCGACGGTCAATTCTCACTTCCACACACACACAGGAGCGACGGCCCGCTCGGCCAGAAGGCCGTCCGGAGGAACGCAAGACGGGAATGTGAGCTAACGCCGTGGAAGCAGGAAATTAAAACTCGGAGGCTCGGATAGCAGGTTGGAGCCCGGACAAACGCCTCAGAGATGATGTCCGTCGGACAGAGACAGCTGGGTGTTTGAGGCGGCAAGTAAAACTAAACTATACATACAAAATGGGAAAACTGCGAGCCAGAACAGGCTACTTATGGAAAAGACCGCAGGTGTTTATGCCGGTACTTGGTTTACATCTTCTGCACAATGGAGACGCACTATAAAAGGCAAAGAATATTAAGATACTTTAAAAAAAGCTCCGGAATTTTTTAAAGAATCCAGAAGTCAAGCGAGTTTACATTAAAAATGAAGAACGCACGATTAAGGCCTCATTTATAACCTTTTTAGTCTTGAACAGAGAAGACTACAAAGAGGACCTGATGTAAATATTCCAAATCCTCAAGGGGGACTGACAGTCAACCCCACAGATGTCTTTGAGATCAATAATGAGACACCAGCCTGAGGACAAGCAGAAACAACACAAAGGAGCATTTGAAACTGAGAACAAGAGGAACTTCTTACACAAAGGGTGGTGGGAGTCTGGAACAAGCAACAAAGCCAATCTGCTGGAGCTGATAGCCACACGTTTTTGAAAGAAGCCTGGTCCTGGGATCAACTAGCTACTAACTACCAAATGGTCTCCTCTGATTTGTAACCCACCTCAAGCTTGTAATCGAGACCCAGAGCAAACTGATCACAGCCCAGGCTCCAGCGCGGACATCTGTATCTCCTTCCTTGCGAGAACCCTACCGTTTGATTCACCCTTCTCTACTTGGCCGAAACATTTGTAAGATCAAGGAGGAACCAAAATTGGTGGATCTCATCCGGATTATAAAATAACAGCTGGTCTTGTGAGGGGATCAACAAAGCAAATGCATTTTAGGTAAGGACATTAGCACTCAGCTAGCTCTTGGTATGGACGCTTTTTGCTGACATGGTCTCAGATATCATCAAACCTGCACGCGTGCCCACACACCCCTCCAGGCTCCCCGTGAGGCTCCCCTTCTCCGGAGCGCCGCAGCAGCAGAAACACACTCACCACTTCATGAGGAACATGAGGTCCCCACAGGAATCCGTAGCGCCGATGATCTTCTCCGGCTCCAGGCCTCTCTCGAAGCCCCGGGCTATCAGGATATCATCCTAAACAACAAGAAGGAAACTGCCTGCCTTCAAACACGGAAGAGCTCTGCAGCACGATGAGACCTGCCTTAAACTCTTCTCAAATAAGAAATAACCTTCGCTACAAGAGGGGCCGCAATTAGCTTTAAATATCAAGAAAAAAAAAGTCCCACAACAAGGATAGCCTTACTAGGTCTTCCTACAAATTAACAAACTTTTTGTTATACAACCCCAATCTGGTATGGCCAATTGTGGGTTTTTGTGTCTTGACTGCAAACAAGAGTCAGGAAGTGCTAGCAGACTCCTCGGCCCTGCCCACCACCCAAGCCACTCACATTCTGACACATCACGGGCCTATACTGGAGAGTAAGTGCTGATTGGAGGAGAGTTCCGTCCCTCACAGGAAGCTCCGCCCCATACCGGAGGGTTAAAGCTGATTGGAGGAGAGGAGTGTCGCTCACAAAAAGCGCCACCTCATACAAGAGCACGAGTGTGGATTGAAGAGGCACATCCGCCTGCATCCACTGCCTCTCAACTAGTGACAAGACCCAGGCTCGAACCCGCAACCAGAGCTCAGGCAAGTACCTTTACCAGCTGAGCCACCTGGGCGTCACCGGTAGCTATTTTATTCCCAACGTCCAAGACGAACACAGAGACGTTAAAAACGCCATTAAAAACCAGGCCGTCTCGCTCCTTACCTCCTTCTTCTTCTTGGCTTTGCCGTCCTCCTCGTCCTCCTCGGTGGAGTTTTTCCTCTTGGCGCCGGCGCCGTCCCGCGAGC